GGGGGGGGGTTACTCTTTTAGGAAAATGGCATATATTTAGAATAATTCAGAAGGAAAAGTTGGGCAATTACATGTGACATTAATCTGGGGTATTCGGTAATTGTTGCTTCACTAACCATATGTTCACGCTAAGGTGCAGAATTAGCTTCCCTTTGTATGGTGTCGTGTCATTTGGTTTTGAATCAAGCTTGTGAGTACTGTATCTGATTCTTTTAGAATGTCTGTGGTAACTTATTTGGAGATATATAGGAGTTCTGGTACCTTGGAACTGATGTAAATTGTTGCAAAGGTCTTTATAAAAAATAATTAAAAAAGGAAGAATCATTGCAAAGGTTAAATCTCAAAGATGAACTCCTAGATATTGTTCTAATCTTCTATGCTGTCTAGAGAGTTGCATATTACTTTCATTTCTTCCGCTTTAAATTTGCTTCATATAAAATACGCAGGCTCTGTAAGCTTGCACTATCAGGAAAAAATATTTAGGCTTTGTATAAGAGGAGTTAAGTAAGCAGTAAACTTTTAACTTGAACGTGAGGTTTGATGTCATAATGATATCAGGTTGCTCTAGACATCACCAGCAGAAGTTGTAGGACTGGTTGTCAATAAGTGATGATCATGTTATATGATGTTTTTAGGTGCATATAATCATGCATTTCATTTCCACTTCCTACAAATTCTCACCTTCTGATTCTTGTAGATTTCCATAATGTACCCTGGGACAGTTTTGATGGAATTAACAGGATAAATATATCTACTTTCAAAAGCTTTTCAGTTAGCGTAGTGCTGGTTGTGTGGTCATTCATATTTTATATGTACCTTTGGCATGCAACTCGTACACGGGGCTCGGCCCATCATATCAATAAAGTATTAACTTGTAGAATGTTCTATATGTTATTTAATTCATTTCTTGAGTTGCTTCATGTAATACCTTATTGTTCACTCTTCTTCCTTCTTCATATATTTTTTCTGAAGTCGAAGGGGTATCCAATCTTTTGTAGCTGAGGGATCTAGGGAAATTTGCATGTCAATAATTTTGGAGAAACGGAATCACTGAGCACATGCAAACCACGTGGGCAAAACCTCGCTAATCC